ACTCAGTGTTGGCCCAAGGGCAAACATGGATTTTAACACTGTCTGTGTATAATAACATTAATGTCCTAAAGAGTGATTCCTCCTGTCTGATGAACAAAAATGTACGTTCATGTATACACACATAGAAATGAATGTAAATGAGAAACTTTATGAATAGATGGTGAATTTATATGCCTGAAATATCCCCTTTGCAATAACATGTCAGCAGGGGATATGAATCATGCACTACCCAGCTGTTGCTTGTTCCTCTCTGATCACCCCTCGAGCTGGAAGCTACCAGACAGACACACAAGCGTGCACGGACACATGATGATAAATCTCAGAAAATTATTTGTGAACTTGAATTGAAGAGTGCACAAAATCTGGGTATGTTCTTCATATTGTAATTTAAGGATACTGTTTATTTGCATATCAGTCTGACAGTACAAAGAAGAATAGAAACCCACGTTCCCATTAGAGGCGTTTCAGGCCAAGACAACAAAACCTGTTTGAATCAGGAAACATTTACACCAGGATCAAACGCAGCTCTCTAAATTATTCCTTTATTTAGTGAGCTTCTTTATATTATCACACAGGTGAGCTGGAAGTGTCACAGTTTCAGTGAACATGATCACCGAATGTAAAGTGAGAATTTCAATGAATAAATGGTGATTTCAACAGCCCAAGTCTTGTGAGAGATGACAGCTAGGTTAATCAGATTACATCTAAAATGAGACATGACAGAAGCAGGCATAACAGGTAAATTTACTCCAATGGAAGACACAGGTAGCTGTAGTTAGAAACAGCCTGCAGTGTTGTAACATTTCTGAATTACTGTATGTGATATACGTATGCAACACAAACATGAGAAGCAATGCAACATTTTTATAAGATCACAATCAAAAATGTCCTGACAGAACCTGAGAGCAAATAGAAGACATGACAAAAGATAAGACATTAACCAAAAAGAGAGAGAAAGCAAAGCTAAAAGAGGCGATGAAGCAGTTACAGGCAGAAGAAGCGGCAGGGATGTCACAGCCAGGACTTACTTACACGTCCACACACAGAGGGAGGGAGAGAGAGATTATTCTGGGCTGCTTTGCCTTTACCAGTTATTCATACCGGGTGTTCAGCCTCAGCATGTGGTGTGCGTGTGTTTTTCTATAGATGGCGCTTATCATTCTACCAGGATACCAAGGACATTTTCTAATATGTTTCTAAATAATGGTGTTCATTTTACTGTGAATTACCCAGATTGGGTGTGCGCCTTGTGTCTTGAATGGTCCCGGTTGACTAATCCCAGTAGGGAAGGCTGCCAAGTGCTGCCACTGTAATTACAACAGGAAGCTTTCTTAAACCGTCTCTCACTTTCTCCCTGGCTGGTTGGTTCTCTCATGTCAAATGAGCTGTAGAGTGCAATGATATCAAGGTGTCCGCAGACTGAGCACTTGGTGAACGTTTATTACCGCTTTTCAGTGTCCTAAGTTGATATCGATTTCACAATCATGATGGCTACAGATTGAGTGTGATACCATAAAATATCTCATAATGAAATATCATCCATCCATTATCTGTATTGCTTATCGCAAAGAGGGTTGTGCGGGGGGCTTGAGCCAATCCCAGCTGACACTGGGCGAGAGGCGGGGTACACCCTGGACAAGTCTAATGAAATATCCATTTTTAAATAAAAAATAATTTGAACTCATAACATAAACAGCCATTTTGTATAAAGAATTTATAGATTTGATTTTAAAGAATTAAAGAAAGATATGTACTGAGCAAGACAGTTTACAGTTAAATAATAAATCTGTAAGTGCTCTCCAGTGAACACTAATTACCCTAAACGTACAGTATCTTTGACTCGTGACACAGATACACCTGAGATAAGCTAATATAATAACATAAACATGCACAAAACTTGCAGATGATGGTGCTCTTTTTTGTGTTTGTTAAATTTTAGTTTCGATTAATGCTTGAGCTGTATAAAAGTAAAAGCATCTGCCCACCAGTAGCTGGACCCACTTCAGCTCCTACCAACTTGGCAGTGTCTGTGCTGAGTGCTGGTAAAGCCTCATGTTGTGGTGACTGCACCAGCAGCCCCTGTTGTTGTACAAAGAAGGAAGCACATGGTCGTTTACCAGGCGGCAATGAAAAAAGCAACCTCACACTGTGTGTTTTGACAAATAAGCCACGATTAATCATTTCTTTAATTCTAAATCCTGACTGAATTATTCAGCGCTGATGATCTAAAGTTACAGTGACTGTTTGGTGACCACAGATGACCTGCTCTGTTTTCAGTTCAGTGGAAACAATCCAAGCATTGTGCTCCCAAATGGATGCTGCCAAAGTGAGGATGTTTTTGTGTTTGAATAAAAATAGTCCTAGAAAAATAGCAATGTATGATTTATTACCCACAACCATTTTAGAGCCAAGTGCGGACTAAAAACAAAAAGGAACCCATGCTGTCATCGGCTCTTCCTCACCATGGTGTTAATTCCCCTCAGGGGTTTGTGTTTGCTCCACTGCTGCTGTATTTTTTTTTTGTCAAGATTCCTTATCTTTCACTGTGTCTCCTTCAGAACTCGTTCTCCCTGTCTCTTTGACACTTTCTGTTTCTCCAGCCATTGAAAACTGGCAACCTCATTTATCAGCTAGTGTTTTATTTTTCCCAGAAATAAAGGATTGCAGCACTAAAAAAACATTTCAAAATGTTTTCAAATTGTATTTTAAGTCAACATAATGGATACAGTGATTTGTCCTGAAGCGTATGCTCATGAACACCAAAATATTTTGCACGTGTTAGCTAAAGATTGAGTGGTGTGTATATTTTTTTATCTGCACAGTTGAAAGTATCACTGCCTTAATTGTAGTTTGGCACCCTTGTAGACAAAACACAATAAACTTTATCACTTTCATCAACACACACACACACACACACACACACACACAAACTAAACAAAATTAAAAAAAAGATTACAGCTATCTCAAGCGTTCACATTATGCTCCCACGATGTTTAAAATGGGAACAATGGGGTGCTTTTCCTTCAGAAGTGTTCCCAAATTAATCTACAGCTACGATAAATGTGCAGAGCATTAAAGGGCATCAACACACACAATACAGATTAATCTGTTTTGCAAATGCAGCTACTGCTGTAACACTGTCAGTTTATTGAAAAATAATCTTCTACAGTCAGCAAGGATGAGGAATGCAGGGCTTTTAAGAGCCATTAACATTACACCTGATCTTCACCTCATTTGCCTGTCTCTGTTTGATATTCACTCTCTCTCTCCCTGATCTCTCTACCCAGGGATTTGGACTCAAAATGGTGCTGTGCCTGGGCAGGATAGTCAAACCATGCTGCTTGTCAGATCAGTGGGTTGTCAGGGGAAGGGTAGTGCAAATCATGACAGAGAGGGAGGGGATGGAGAGAATTTTGATCGAGAAGGAGCGAGGCAGGAGAGGTTGATCAATAGGCCGAACTCTTTAACACAGGAACCTGCAAAGCTGACGCAGCCCACACCTTTCACACAACATTACCTGCAGCCTGCAGCACAGATGTAGACACACTGGCACATAGACAGTCTGTTAATTGTTGTGTGACATTATCCTAATTTTAATGGAAGAAGAATGTTTTATACTGGTAGCGCAACTGCATCTCGATGAATAGTTCTGCATGGTAGCTCTGCAGGCAGCTACCAGTAAGTGCAATGGCACAGCCGTGCTATTTGTCACGTATCTCCGGTGCTGTGGCCACGTGTGTCCTCTCCAGACATGTTCCGTGTGTGTCGAATGAAGTGCGGTTTTTGGACACTTTCTTGTTGAAGCTGTCTACACTTCAGCTGCTTGTCACAGAGTGCTTTGCACACTTTGCCACCTCTGCCTGTCTGGAGGGATAGATTTTCTCAGTCAGTAATGTCAAGTTGGTCTATTTCTCATCCTCTTCTGAAGAACAGAAACAAGTTTTTTCACTTTAACAATATCATCCCCATTTTTGCTTGAGCATACCTAATGTGAACAGTTGCATGGCAGCCATAATAATCTGCCCCCTCCTTTACATTGTGCTTTTCATACATCTCTCCACTGTATTAAGTCATTACAGTCATTCAGGCATCTTTATTCTTATCATTATTGTGGTTATTTCTGATTTATTTGTAATTTTTATTACTTGATTTAACTTTGAAAACCCAGGTCATATTATTTCTTGAAGTGTGGATGTTGGCTGCTTTAGAAAGCTTGTTGCAAATGTGAGTGCATGCACAGCATGTCGGGATCACAGTTGACTCTTGTGTTTTACTGTAATGTATATCTTCCCCTACACTTAGAACCTAAGGAGAGAAGGAGAGGAGTGGGAGAAGGAGAGGATGAAAAATCTAGGAATGGGAGGCATGTGAAAGGAGATAAGGAAGGAGTAGCAGACAGCTGGAGGAGTAAATGGAAGATACAACTGAGAGATTTTGACAGTGGAAGCAGAAAGAAAACAAAGAAGAGGACATTGTCATATTTTGAAATGGATCAAATACACAGTGAGAGTGACACAGCAAACAGAGGGATGTCTGTATATATGGTGTTTGGCTGTGTGGGAGGGAGAGACACTTAAACACACTCACTCACGAATGAGCTCTTCATAAAGAACCCTCCCTCTATACCACCTTCCCTCCCTCCTTCCGGGTTCCCTCTGTCCTTCCTCCCATCACCCTTTTGATTTCGAGCGGAGTTCATGCAGATAAATGCATGGGGCCACCAGCCGGTCATTCTGCTCCAACCTCTGCTTATCAGAGTTAAAGAGAGAGCTGTCCTTGTATACAAACATCCACACACAAATTACATCCAGATGAAAAAGCAGTGGAAAATTATGGTTGTGGAGCAGGTGCATTCAGGGTGAATGTGAATCTGTGTGTTTGTGTGTGTGTGTGTGTGAGAGAGAGAGAGAGAGAAAGAGAGAGAGAGAGAGAGAGCGAGGAGGAAAGAAAAGAAAAGAAAGATGGAGAGTGACACAGTGACACACACAAAGCTCCCCCCATTGCCACCTGCTGTCCAGCTTTGATCAAAAATTGTGTGTGAGCTCACCAAGGGTCGGATGGTCTTGTGAAAGAATTTACGCAGGAGAGACAGAGAGCGCGAGCAGCACAGACAATATGTGCTAAAGAAAACAGACTCGGAGAGAAGGGGGTGGGCTTAGGTACAAGCATTAATAGCAGCTCATATTCTCCCACCAGCTTTGCTTTCTCCAGTGCACAAGAAGCCTGACGCTGAGCCACCACCTCTCTCCCTCCCTCCCTCTCTCTCCATCATTTTCTCTCTTTCCTCTTGTTTTCCCTCCAGTGGGGGGGGCTGTGCTCGTGCTGTGTCGATTGGTAGGCAGTTACAAATGTTACTATTTTGAGACAGTCAGCGTATGCACTCTGCGTCTTATACCAAATGATCGAAAGAGTGGGTGGGGGGGAGGCAGAGAAAGGCAGAGCAGGGCTTAAGCTTGTTCTTCTGTGCGTTAAGTGCGCTGCACAAGAGCATGAGGGAGCACAGGGAGACTTGGACCTGCGGCTGATGCCAAGCTCTGATCCTGAATCCTGAAGACATCCATCAAGGCAGGAGGTTGTGTGCCAAGGTGGTTCGCAGGACAGAACCAGAAACATCTTTTTTTACAGATCAAAGGGAAAGAAGGCAAAAGGAAAGAGAGAGCAGTGGAGGGTGGAGGTGAACCGAGAAAGGAAGGATGGCGAGTTTTGGGAAACTCACAGACTACTTTAATCGGCGTAAGTCTCGAGAGGAGCTGCGGGTGGGCAGGAGCTCTCGGCGCAGCGGCAGTTACTGCTGCACTGTGACAGAGGCCAGGTAACCTGTCTCTGTCTGTGTGTGTGTCTGTGCACTGGTATGCCAGGCTGCATGGCTGCATGGCGCACTATGCATTTGTTACTATGGTTGTAAACACACGTGTCGCATCTCAGTGTGTTTGTTTCTCTGTGCAACAAAATGAAAATGTTTGCACGCTACAGTACGCCTCTAGAAGTTTATGGTATTATTCCTTGTTGTACATCACACTGAGAGTCTTAATGTCTCACTGAAATGAGGAAAAACATGGATCGGTCTTTTAAATCAAAGAACACCACAGTGAATAAGAATGCAGGCATAAATAAGTTCATATTGTTTAAGAAAGTCAGTCTGTCGGTGTGTTTATGTGTTTCTGCACACCGACAGGACAGGTGTTTGTATATGTGTGTGTGCATGTAAGCATGTCTGAATACATGTGTGAGTAAGCATTCATGTTACATAAGAGTGGAGGAGGAGTGGATGTGCACGATGCTGCTACTATGAATTCTTTGCACTGACATATTAAAGTTCAGAAGACAAAGGCAACAGGCTGTGTATAATGTAGGAGAGAAAGAGGGAGAATGAGCTTTTCTGAGTTGACCTAGTGTTCCTACTAGCTCCATGTTCACAGTAGGAGCTTCCCAGTGACGGACACAACTTTCTACTGTTGGCTACCAAGTGGCTCTAACAGAGAACTGAGTTTTTCTTCACATGCCTTGCTCAAGGTCATATTGACAAGGTGAAGCGAGGAGAGTGTCTACATCAAGTATTCCCAGACAATCTGTGGATTTCAACCAGCATCCTGAAGCGTGTGTGGCAACATGTTTCATCTTCTCGCTGTGCATGCCTCCTCCTCTTCTGAGCCCACATTTCTAAATCACAGTCAACTCTGACAGCACATTAAAGATGCCTAATTGTGTGTTGATGTTTTGTCTGAACACGAATGCCTGGAATGCCTAATGCTCATTGCTGATGTGGATTTTGAAATTTCACCTCCACTGCAGCACTGTTTAAATCCAGTTAATGCTGTGTCACATAGAAGCTCTTCACACCCTGCAAACTTAATTTGCATGGCTTGTTATGTATCACATCGCTGCAATTAACATCCTGAATTCAGAAAGCAATTTGCTTTGTTTGATGTTAAACTAGGACCCCTTAGGAAAAACAAAATGTGTTTCTCTTTTCGCCTACCATCTCTTACTGCATGTAGGAGTGTCCTAAAAATATAACTCAGTTATTTTATGATGCACCTTCAAAATTCCTAAAAAGCCTAATAAGAAGCCAGGACTGTTTAAAGTTCTTATGAGAGTGTTGAATTACATAACTAAGATGAAAGTAAAAATCAGAATGCTACTGTAAAAACCTCCCACCGCTACCACCGCTCTAGAAATAACAAAATAATCTCGATCAGGTCTCATATCATTCACTTACAGCAGAAGTGTTAACGTGGGCGGACATCTGCTACAAAAACAGCTCTGAGACTCCCTGCCTTTACTAATCCGACATCTCTCTCATCCCCACAGCCTCTTTGTCCCTCCCACTCACTGTCTCTCTCTTACAAGTCACTTTCTTCCTCCACCCCCTCCCAGTCCCATCCTCTCTCTGACTTTTAGCATCACTTCCTCATTCTCTGCTGCTCCTCTGTCTCTCCTGCAATATGAGAAACTAATATTTGTATAAATACAGCACAAAAATATATAGGCTATCATATTTCCTGCTATGCAACATAAACTTTAGTTCTGCTGCGAGTACAAGTTTCATGCCAGAGTCAAGTGTGCGATCGAGTATGTGCACCTGACCCTTCCGTGCTACAGCTCCTGCTTGTATGTAATAGTTTGTGTATGCATGCATGTATAGTTCATATATTGTTTTATGTAATAGCGATCCTTGTTGTTACTCCTGCCACCAGGGGCCCAAAGATGTCGCCTGATGGAAGGGTGTGAAGCTCACTGAACAAGGGTTGTTGTGGATGAAGTGGCAAATGTTTCAGTTTTTGGTGTGGGACAGTTTTGGGAATAGTCACAGATATGCTGAGTAAATTATTCAGGGCGATGTTGGTTTTAACATGCCAGAGTGCAGAATGTAACAGTTTCAGTAAAACAATACACTGAGCACTATGCCTGCCCCCATTAACCTTAAACCCTTGCCAGATTATATTTATAATCTTTAAATTAGAACTGGAGCCCATATTAACATGTACAATTATCCTTTTTAACAATAAAACCAAACAATTTCACTCTATGATCCACATTTGGAATTGATTAACTGTCATTTTGGGCATTTTCCCACAGGTTTTCTTTTCAACATCATTTACTTCCCTTTTAGGGCATTCCATTTGTGAACGTGATTGTAATGTGAAACCTCTCCTTTCATTTCCCATGATTGGACATTCAGATTCATGGGCTACACAGATTACGTGCACATTTCCTCCAAAAGACAGAGAGATTCAGCAGCTTTTTACAGAGGGTAGGTACTAACTGAGCCCTCTCTGGGAGGCAGCTGTAATGTATGGTGACAAGTCAGTCACTTCATAGCAAATGATGAGTGATGACCAGTTAATGTTGATCATTCTGTAATGTAGAGGGATAAGTCTGCAAGTTCACACTGACTGGCTAGCTCTTAGCCTGTCCGTCATTTCACAGTTGATGGTCCATACCCTTTTGCCCCGTAGGGTCAGTACTGTATCTCCCAACCTTACTGAGAATTCTTGAAGGAGAATCCAGGAACCACTTAGTCAAGACGGTGCAAAAGAAAAAGGTTGAGCACAGGGAAAGTATAGTGCAAGAGGACAATTAAAATGAAGGGAACAGAAATGGAAGGAAATTCAAGGAACTGGCAAGAAGTCATCTGGAGCAAAGACAGAAGTACAAAGGGAGAGATGTGAACAGAAGCGAAGAGAAGAAAAACACGCATGGTGATACAACACCTCACCCCCAAAACACACATCCATATTGAAAAATGTGAGAACACATAAATCCTGAATTAGATTTTTAGTGAATGGCTTAGTACCAAGTAACAAGTTTGGCTTATGAATGAATAACCACGAGCTATTTAACTGGCTCCAGAAGAACAGAATTCATTAGGTTATTACATGAATAAACGCAATGTTCGTTAGTGCTGATGCCCCAGCAGGAAATGTTTAGGATTTAGAAGTGATAAAAGAAAAGATATGTAGACCTCAGTAGTCTCAATTGTTAATCTGTATTAAACCAGAAATAGTTCATCATAGAACTTTCATAGAACTGAAACCTTCTGCCTTTCGGACCAAAAACCCTTCAGGTATGTGTGTGGAAGAAGCATGATGATGATGATGATGATGATGACGACGATGATGCACACTGTATGTCAAAAAACCTCCATGGATAGTTCTCACTTTGGTAGCTGCAGTGCCATTCACCATCATACAGCCTTCATCGAGCTACTGGAGATTTCCATTTAATCAGGGTTTAATGATAATGTGGCAACTTATTCAGCAGCTTGAGTCAAGGTTAAGGGTTTCGATTCATCATGCACGACTCGACTCGGCTGCTCAGAAACAGGTTTTCGTGTCAGCAGTTTCAGTTTCATGTTGCACAGCTGAACAAAGTCAAGGGGCTGCATGTGCTACTTTTAGCATTAAAACAGGTCAGTAATACAACTTGCTGAGTGTGTGTTGCATTAAAACCCGGTCTTGTGGGGTTGGGAATAAAGTGCATTTTAACCTGTAGCAAGAAGGAGAACAGAAACTTCTGCAGTCTTCTGAGCTCTCTTCACTGTCAGTCAAATACAGAGAGAGAGAGAAATAAAACAATAATATCTCAAATAAAAACTATTCTTTAGTGTATTTCACACTGTATGTCAAAAAACTGTTTACTGTAATATTTTATTTTCTGACTCATAACACTGTGGCACACACACACATGCTAAAAGCTAACGTCAGTTGTTTTCCTTGACTGCAGCCCCAGAGATAGTTCATTTGGCAACAGAAAATGTGTGGCACACTTGATGCTCATAACACAAGGCAAGACATAGTTTTTGTGAAAATGTGTGTTGCTGCTGGGAAGCAAGAATGCACATCTCCTCTCTTCTTTCCTTCTCTCCTTTCTTCTCTCGTCCTCTCCTGTCCTCTTCGTCTCCCCCTGTTTTTGTAGACAGTCGCTTAGCAACAGGTTTGTAGGATGAATGCGGCCCAAATTGTCAGAGTGACCTGGGCCGCCTGTTCGGTGTGTTATCATTGTAATGCGCCAGTGGGAGGTCACCTGTTGTATTTGTCCATGTCTGTCTGTGTATGCTTGTGTTTGCTGTTGTGTTTACCAGTGGACCCTGAGTTATTTCATCTTATGCCAACTGTGAGGATTTTGTTTATGTGCGTGTGTGTGTGTGTGTGTGTGTGTGTGTGTGTGTGTGTGTGTGTGCTCCAGGCAAATGGGTTTTTCCCTGAAAGTCAGTATGGATTGTTGAGGAGGGAGAAATCTGCCTGTTTCTTACACCAGCAAGGTGTGTGAGTGTGCATGCAGCATCTAGTCACTATCTTCTAATATTTACCAACATAAAAGCATGTTCTTCATCAAACCAGCCCGGTTCAGCTTTGACTCACACCCAGGTTACTCCAACACCCACCTGTTCTGTCAGGGGAGTAGTTTACTAGCTGACAGCAGGCAGATGTCAGTAATCTACTCAAGCCTGCATTTGTGCTGACTCAGAGCCTGTTGTTCGTTTATTAGATTGCTCCCTAGTGATAAATGGCTCCAAGCCTGCAAATACATCCTGTGCCTGACGTCCAGGGGAGTTAAGTGAACTGAAGTATTTCACTCAAACACAGGCATGTTTAGAGCTTTATTCAAGAGCACTTGTCTGTATAATGAAGCTTGCAAAAACAGGTGTAAGCTACACAAAGAGAGCATCTATAAGTCAATAATCTATAAGTAATCTGCTACTGAAAAGGATTTATTGCATTTAATGGATTAGAGATGATCCCATACATAGATCAAAGGCTATATACTTGGCTATTGGTGATATTTGATGAAATATGCGCATTGAGTGATGCATGAATTTGAATTGCCTCAGTACTGTGGCCACTTATGAGACATTAATATGTAACAATGGGTATGTATTGCTTTTCAGCTACAATTAGATGATAGATAAATAGTTCAGTGTTTTGGGAAATTAGCTTCTTTACTTTCTTGCTAAGTATGCATTCCCCAAAAATATCAGACTGTTCAATTCAAATTAGAGGAAAACATGTAGCCTATGATTTTGGAAAATAATCAGGAACAGGAATGTGTTTTGTGAGAGAACAAGAACATTTGACTATTTGAAAATTACACAGTGTAGAAACCTATCACCCACATTGTTCTGTCTGTATATTAACATAAATGACTTTCTTTGGATAGGCCGTCCTAATATGCCACTGATGAAAATGGGACAAATAAAATCAGTTCATTACATTTAATTTCTAAAATAAATCCCAGGCTAAAACCCACCTCACTGAAAATGTCAGGCCACATCAGCCTGGGGGAACTCGGCTTGAATGTGTTCGACTGATTTCCAGCTGGGGATCGTGTGTGCTGTACCCACACTGGTCACGCAACAGTCTGGAGGTCAGATGTCTTCCATTTGTGCCAGCCTGACTCTGATGTCTCAAACGTTGGCCACATTTCACAGAATTTGATCACATTAATCTGATCAGAGCTGGCATTGGAGTGGGATTTGCTGCAGAAGCTCAGCATTGCTTTGCTTTTTTTTGCAGGTCTTTTTTTCAGTTCTATTAAAGGTGAACATTTTAGCTGTTATTTTATGTAATATTCATAACATCTGTTGTTATGTAATGTAATATTGACAGTCTAGGAATTTAAACCATTTTTCGCACCAGCCGCTTGCCTTAAAGGCTTCTTATGCTTGAATGAAACATGAAACAGCAAGCTCTGTCAGTGATCAGAGATTTGTGCTTAGGGTAATGGAGGAAAACACCAATCTGTGTCTCTGAAAATACACTGACATACAAAACAGTCAGTCTTATAAATAACATAAGATAGCCATTAAACATGTGCATCAGGTCCCATCATTAATAGCCAACAATGTTGTCACCAGTTGGCAATTCAACCGATCTTGTGATTGTGGCTATTGATTGGTCTCCCACCGGAGCGCGTGTGGTATCGACTGCTATGAAAGAAAGCAATTTGTATTGGTTGTTTTCCAAATGGACTTCAGCTCGGTTATGCTGAGGTGGGAGTAATTTCACTATTGATCAGTACAACTGCTCTCATGTTGCTCATTAACGTGTTTGTGTACACGTGCTGGTTTTGTATTGCACAGTAATAGCTTAACTGAGCTGCCATTGTTTTATCATCCAGATAATCAACCACTACTTGCATTAACTCTGGGTTTAGTTGTATAAGCCAACATTTTGGCCTCATTAAAATTAGTCCAATTGACATTTCTATGTCAATGCTAGATAAATTAATAAAACAGTGGTCTCAGTGTAAATGCTCTCAGTAAGAATTAAAAAGGCTCCTGTCGTAAAATAGGTAAATATTCTGTGTGTAGCATAGCTCCGTAAAGGGACATTCCACCTCTGTCAAGTCTGGGACTTACAAGAGATAGAGTAAATATAAAGACCAGAATCAAAGCTGCAGAAAATGGATATTCAAGCTGCAAAATGCGACATTCAGCAGTGGTCCTTATGCAACCAATAAAGAGGAATCCACGCACAGCAAAACCATCACTCAAAATTTTCTCATAGCGACTTAATGTGACATTAACCAGTAGACAATCCACAAACAAAAGCTTCTGTGCTGGAAACTGATTCTAAAAGGTTGACATAATGAGATTTTTTTTGGAGGCACAAATTGGCCAGTTTAATCTATTGCAGGTAGTTTCCATGTAAAGTTTTGTTCATATAATTTGATTTGATTTATTCTTTCAAGCACGTAAAGACAGTTGATATGACAACACACATAATTTTACACATATCCAACAAATGCTAATCCAATAACAATTTGCTTATACCTAGTACATGCTTGAATGGAGTAGGAAGAAGTCAGACTTATCCAGTCCTACCCCATGACATCATCTTACCATCATTGGTTTGCAAGCAATAAATGATTCACTTCTACCCACACAAGTATTATGCTAAAAAAAAAATTAAAAAATTATAACAGTGTTAATATTCTTACATAATTACATTCTTAAATACTTATCTTCTACACCACACAAGTAATACAAAGTGTACACCACACCCACAATGTTCCATCTAAATAATCATTAAGCCTGTTCTTGCATATATCTTGATTGACACATACC